TGGAACCATACGCCCAATACTCTTCCTTCTAGAAGTTGCCTTGGCCATGCTGTTTTATCACAATACAGAAGAATAACTAATACACCTAGCAAGGGATGCCCATAACAGGTCCTCAACATTCCCGCTTCACTGATTAAAAAATAATAATAAGGGGCTGGAGAGATGGCTTAGCGGTTAAGAGCACTGTGACTGCTCTTACAGAGGACCCGTGTTCAATTCCCAGCCCCCATATGGTGGCTATGAACCGTCCTTAACTCCAGTTCCAGTGGAAACTGAAGCCCTCTGCTGACCTCTGCAGCACTGCACAACATGGGTGCACTCACATACATGCAGGCAATACACTCATACACATAAAATAAAAATAAATAAAATATTAAATAATAATAATAATAAAAGCTATAGTATTAGCTACTTTTGCATCACTGTGACCCAAAGACCTAACAGAAGCAGTTTGAGATGGGGAAGATTTATTTTGGCACAGTTTCAGATGGTTTCAGTCAGGACTGATCTATCATGGTGGAAGGCTCCTCCTAACACATCTGACCAGAAGGAGACAGTAAGGCCACTGCCAGGGTTCATTATAATGTTCAAGGGCCCAGCCCTAGTGACCCACTTCCATCATTGATGCCTCATAAAGGTCCCACGGCCTCCCCAACTAGAACCACCAGTTGAGCAACAAATGTCCAAAACATAAGCCTATGGTGAGCACTTCAGAGTCAAACTACAACAGCCCAGTTTTGCCATAGCCAAAGGTGACTTTTTAGAAACCAAGAACAATGAGCTGATTTTTTTTAAACTAATAAAATATTTAAAATTGATTTTAGTTTGTTTCCATGATAACAGTGACAATGGTGGTGATGATGCTAAGGAATTTGACCTTTAATTTAATTCTTTAAATTTTAGTAAGTAAGTGCTAGTATAATGAATTATCCCAGAAACTGACCTGTACTTGTGATTAACAGGCACTTTTCCTCACAGCCCTGCAAAGCCCCTTTTAGCATCCAGAAATAGAACCATCTGTTCTTCCCACAACTCCTGGATGGTTTTCACTCAAATATAGCCCTCTGGACTAAGCCCACAGTTAAAATTAATACTGTCCTGCAAACTAAGCTAAATTTTTTTCCCAAGGCATGAATAATTAGCTTAAAATAAAGGACAAAATTAGAAGAGTAATAAAAGGTTCCCTCCCCATTTCCTAATATTAGTGACTCTCTATGTGGAGAGTCACAAATAAAAAATTCAGTCTTTCTGAGATCTTTTAAAGACCCTAAGTCAGTCTATGGTGAGATGAAGTTGGCAAGATATCACATCATTTAGGGACACTATCCTGCCATAGCTTAATCTTGTTCTGTAGACTAGAGGGGTCCTTAGAAAAATTCTGTTCTCTTAGTCTGATGTCTCATCTTCCTATATCCATCAAGGTCAAAGGAAAAGTTGGCTAACAGTTTTTCTATGGTTATCCTCCCCAAAGCAAAACCCCTGGCCAAGATTCAAGTCTTTGTAGTTTATTTTGGAGGTGGTCCAAGAAAATGTGGGGAGTGAAAAAAACATGATGGGGGTGAAAGTTAGTTAATAAAAGCATCCTTAGCAAGCAAGTTACCACTGAGTTGTAATCCTCTGGGCACTTGGAGAATCACTGTAAGATGTTCATTTCAAAGGCAGATCAAGGAAGATGTGAGACAGCAATTATACTTCAGTTGTCACTGGCTGGAGGTAATGGGAACCTGAGTTTCAGGACAGTCCTGAGGATGAGCTTGTCTGGCTAGAGGACACCTGCAGACTGGTTTCCAAAACTGGAAGTCTCAGTGCAGGGAAGTGCCAGGTAGGAGGAGTGAGGCACCAACAGCCTTGGCCACAGCCAAGACTTGAACCGTTTCAAAGGAGAACTTAAACAAGAGACAACCATGTTTGCTCAAGGACACAGTTCCACAATACAAAACTGAATTTGTTTTACACACAATTATCCTTCAAAAAAAGAGGATATAGGAGCTGGAGAGATGGTTCAGAGGTTAAGAGCACTTACTGCTCTTGCAGAGGACCAGATTTTGGCTCCCAGCACCCACATGGCAGCTCACAATCACCTAGAATTCCAGCTCTAGGGAATCCGATACCCTCTTCTGACCTCTGTGGGCAAATGTACATGCTCGCATACTGACACACACATACACATAAACTAAAAAATAAAATCTTTTTAAAAATATTTACAGACAAGCGTACCTTTCACCCCTCACCAAAGAAGTTTCTTTTTGCAACAGATGGAGACTATTACAGACTTACAGAACTAGTCAAACACAGAGAATAAGTGTATCTGAGACACTTAACCCTATGTGGCACATCTTCAATGCAACCTCTACACTTAGGATGAATGCACCTCTTAACTCACACCAGAGAAGTTTCCTTATGTAGCAGATGGTGATTAACAGTGAAACCTACAATTGGCCAATGTGCAGAGAACAAGAGGCCACAGAGTACTTACCCCCTGAATAGGACACATTTCAAACCTCTGTTTCCCAAGGCTCAGAGATCACTGGGAAGAGGGGGTAGAAAGATTATAAGAGCCAGAGGTGGTAAATGACCATAGGAAAAAGTCTTCCAGACAGCTGGTCATTTACTCATATAAATTCACAGTGATGATGACAGTATGCACAAGTCCCATGCAAACTCAAGCCACACAAAATCCCAGCATAGACATGGGGAACTGGATAAGAAAGCCCAACCCAACCTAAGGAACTTTTTGGCCATTTTTTATATATGAGAGTACATTAAATTGGATGGGGGGGGAGTGCAGATAGGGGAGGGAATCTAAGGACCATCAAACTATATTGTATGAAAATCACAAAAACTTAATAAAATTAAATATTGGGGGGGGAGGGGCTAGGGACTGAACCTAGGGCCTCATGCATGCCAGGCAAGCAATCTACCATTAAGCTATAGCTCCAGCCCATTTATCTAGTACTCCAGAAGCAGTGCCAGATGGTTGGGTTGAATCCCCAGCACCACATAAAACTGAGTATGGTGGTATGTGCCTATAATCCCAGCACATGGGATATAGAGGCAGAAGGATCAGAAGTTCAAAATTATCTTCAATTATCTAGCTAGTCCAAGGCCAAATAAATATTTGCTTAAAAAAAAAAAACCTAGTCCAATGAAAGGGGGGTGGGGGTGTGAGGCTGCCAAATTTTCCACAGAAGGTCATGAGGTCAAAGATTCTAGCATGGGATTTTCATCTGATCCTCCTATCCATGGGCTGACTGTTCTCGTAGATTAGAAGCGTAAAAACAATCATTCTGTTAATAGGAAAATGGATACCTTAAGAAGCATAAGAGAAGGACTGTGCAATTAAAGCATCTGTCTCTGAATTCTAAGGAGGCTAGAAAGGCTAACTATAAAACACTATTTGTAGATATTAAATTGTTGGGCTTCCCTGTCTCCAGTATCATCCCCCACCCAGAGCATCTATTACCAAATGGAGTCACAGAAAACAAAATGCTGTGATCTTCCCAGATCCCTGAAGCACAGATTAACTTAACAAATAACAGGGATCAAGATACTAATAACATATCATCATGGGGAAATGAGAGAGATTTGGCAGGAACCAAAGTACAGACTCGAGCCTGCCGCACTGTGATCACTCAAGGCAGGCAACGGGTGGTGAGAGGGAATTGTGAACAACTGGTCTCCAAGTTCCATACCTACATGTCCTCCCAACAGTCTCCTCTCCCCACAGGTGACAGAGTCAGAAGGAAGACGGCACATGCAAGACAGTGAGGAGGGCAGCAAACTAACCTAGGATCTTACACTTCCCTCCACACAATGTTTGTCTCTAACAAAATCTGAATAACTCCTCAAAATACACCTTTTTTGTTTTTTTTAGGTAGGGCCTTATATAGCCCAGGCTGACCTGAAATTTGAGTTCCTTGTGTAGCTAAAAGGATGCTGAACTCCTGATCCTCCTGCCTTTACCTCCCAAGTACTGAGATTATGCGCATGGACCACCACACCTGATTTATGTAGCATTAGGGTCTGGATTCAGGGCTTCATGCATGTTAGGAAAGCGTTCTACCAACTGAGCTCCATCCCCCATCCCAAAACGCACCCTTGACAAAAATGAAACCTTATTTTCATTTTGTCAAACAGGCTTTCAAAGTTTGTTTTTATTGTTTTATTTATTATTCCTGTGGGGGGTTGGGTCAGATGAGAATTTGTAGGGATCGGTTCTCTCCTTTTACCATTGGTTTGAGGGACTGAACTCGGTCATCAGGCTTCATGGTAAGCACCTTTATCTGTTGGGTCATCTCACTGGCCCAGAACCTTATTTTTAATATGTTAATGATTTAACTATATGGAGAAAATCTGATAACCTACTAAGCTATGCATTTTAAACTTTTCAAAAATAAATAATCGAAATGAAAGAGGATTTCAACAAAAACAAATATCAATATAGTACTCAAGGGCAGTCTGCCAGGCTATTCTAACTCCTTTATATCAGGGGCTCCCCAACTGAGATGTGGCAATGCTGGAGACATTTTCCAGACACTCTAGATATTGGTAGGACACATTTACCATTGGCCTCCATTTGGTTTCCAATATGACTGGTCGAGGGCTATGCCATACATACCTGTTAAACAGTTGGAATAATACCTTCTTCCTGAAGAGACTATAAGTTATTAAAACAGATGTACGTCTAATAAAACCTAAGGCATTGATAAGTAATTACTATGGGTACTCCCAAGAATGAGACACATGTCAGCCTTCCCCTTTTCCATGTTCCCAAAGGCAATGGCATTGGAGGTAGTAGGTACCTGCTTCACAAGGATTCACCTACTGATCTTAAGGATATGTTTGCATATGACTGTATCTAAGAATTCCAAAGTGTTGAGTCTGAACTCACACTCAAAATTTGGTATGTTATAAATATTATTTCATTTGTACATCTAAATAATTTTAGCTCAAGGAAATTTTTGAATTTTTGTTAATAATTTTAACTATATGAATTTTATGAGGGGCTAGCATGAATGTAGTCCCCCACTACCACAAATCATGCAGCTGAGTCTCCTGCATGATGAAACTGCAGGGGTCAGCACATCTAGAATGCAATGGATGAGCCTCGCCCTGGGAAAACACCCATATGATCGTGGTATCTCTTTTGTCAGGTCAGTATCTATATGAATAATCTATCAAAATAGGTTCATGTGTTGCGACAAATGAACAGTAAGATAGTACAAAGGTAGAGGAGGGGACTGGGCTCAGGTGAAAACAGCACCTGAACCATCTTTGTAATTTTTCTGTAAATGTAAAACTATTCTAAAAATAAAAAGCTTACTTCAAAAAAGGCATAGGTGCAGGCCAGTAGGATGGTTTTGCAGGTACAGGTGCTTGCCACCAGTTTCACAACCTGAGTTTGATTCCAGGAGCCCAAATGGTGGGAGAATTGATTCCTGCAGGTTGCCCTCTGACCTTCACATGTATGCTGTGGCATCAGCATATACGAATGTTCATACACACATACACACACACACACACACATACACACACACACACACACACACAAAATAAATGTTTTGAAAGTAAAGCAATTTTTTAATGCAAATAAAGTTATAGTACATTTCTCAAAGAAGAAAATAAGAGCTGGGGCAGAATGTCCACGTCCAATTTTCATACATTGTTGATTATAAGACAAAGCAATAGACTAGTAGTTTGGAACCCTCAGGTAGCTTTGGATCAAATGTCTAGATTCTACAGGAACCCTGTTTCCACATATTTCCAAGTTAATTCTGTCTCATTCACTTATCAAAAAAAATTCCAAGGAATCAAACTGCACCAGGAGCTGAGGTAGGTCTAAGGAGTTAAGCCAGTAAGAACAGTCCTGTCCTCAATTCATGGCCTAAAGGGAAGTTCTCCTGCATGAGTACTGGATAGACACTGAGAATGTCTGAGGTAGGGTCTACATGGCAGAGGCAGAACCAGCTTTCAAAAGCACAGATCAGTAGCAGAGGTCATAAATGTGTGAATGGGTGACTGCACCTAGGAATCCTTGAACTTGATCCCAGAAGGAAGCTGTAGATCAGAGAAGAGGGAAACTCATACCTGAAAATCAGGGAAGTCTGGACAAGGTGTCCTTGACCAGCACAGGAGAGAACTGTCCTAGGCACAGAAAGAACTATAAGGACACCCCTTGCCTCCAGCAATCAATACCAAGCCCCCGGGCTGGGGGGTGTGACTCAACTAGCACAGTGCTTGCCTAGCATGCATAAAGCCTTGGGTTTGATCACCAGCACCACATAAACAGATGCGCTAGTCTACACTTGTAATCCCAGCATTCAGAGGTAGAAGCAGGGGCTAGAGATGGCTCAGTGGTTAAAGCACTTAACTGTTCTTCCAGAGGACCCCAGTTTGATTCCCAGCAGCCACATGGTAGCTAACACCCATCTTTAACTCTAATTCCAGGGGATCCCACACCCTCTTCTGGCCTCCGAGAGCACCAGGCATGTACGTGGGGCACTTACATACATGAGGCAAAACACTCATACATAAAAAATAAAATAAAATCTTTTAAAAAAAAGAAAAAAGGTAAAAGCAGGAGGGCCATGAATTCAAGGTCATCCTCTGCTATCCAGCACCTTGACATGCTTCTTAGTCACCAACACTGGCTTTAAAGTGCCCATGGAAGCAACTAGAAGCCAGCAGGGAGATGAGCTTAACTCTGGCCACTCCAAGGATGGAAAAGGAGGTTCTACTTAACTCCATTTTGGTGGACAAAATGAGAAAACAGGATTCTCAAGGCTGAAAGGGTATGCCAACTCAGAAAAATCAATCTGCCTCCCTTAACTTGAAGCTATTTCCACAGAAGAGCTTTTTCACATGCTAATTATTTTTCCAATTTTAGCCTACTTGAAAAGCAAAATAGTGCCCTGTTGACCAGGTTGCTTGGCCCACTGCAACTTTTTTTTCTCCATCTCCTCTGTAATCAGCCTGTCAGCGGGTACATCTCAACATCTTCAGGATGTTGACGTTAGCACCACTTACGCCCACTACTCTAGATCTAGAAACTGATAGCCAACTGTGGAAAGAGTGCCTGCTGCACCTCACACCTCACTGATGCGTCTGCTCAGCAAACTTGGAGCCAGTGTCTGTCACTCACTCTGTGTATGGTGTGCAAAGGGATTACTGTCACCCCGGGCTACAGGTGAGTAGAATAAGAAAGTATAAAACCAGTTTTTGAGCCAAAGACATAGCTCAGTTGATAAGAGTGCTTACCTAGACACAAAGCCCTGGGTTTGATCCCCCGTACCACCTAAACCAAGCAGTGTGGCAAGTGTCTATAATCCCAGCACTCTGCAGGTGTATGCAGAGGATTGGAAGCTCAAAGTCATCCTCGGCTCCACAATGAGTCTGAGGTCTGCCTAGATATGAGACTCTGTCTCAAAAAAAAAAGGGGGGGTGGGGGATTCAAAAAAAATAAAAGACCAGTGACAAAAGATTTTAAATACTGCAGCACTTCCTCTAATTGCCACAAGACCAGGGAAACAGCAGGCACGGGCACACAATAAAGTTCACCAAATCATTGATTTTTTTTCCTTCTAATTCTTGACCATGTATGGCACAATTCAGATTGATTAAAAACCCAAGAAACATAAACAGATAAGAAACATAAAACCTTAGAAATCAATGCTTACACTGTTCCCAATGCACACTCATAGTCCAAGAATTTACTCCTCATAAAACATCAGGCCAGCACCTTCCAAATTATAGGACATAAATGTCATGTCTTTATTTCAATAATCAAGATGCAGACTTACCTTCAACACTTTGCATTTTATTTAGATTTTATTGCATAGAGAAATTTTGCAACACAGGGTCTAGAAACTAATTCACTGAGTCTACAGAACACAATCTAAAGGGTTTTTATTTCATAGCGCACACTTCATTTAGCTATAAAATAAATCCTCATCATAAAACATAAGCTTCTCCTTCTAACAGAAGTAGCAAAGGACCAGCAGGAGCTAGATCCAGGCCATAAGGGTCCAGGAAGACATGAAAGGGGAAACAAAGTATTTCCACAACACACTTACAAAGGATCCACAACCCCCCAGTTTAAAACTACATTACTATGAAATACACCTTGATTTTAATGCATATGCGCAAAGATGGAATATAATTATATTAAAGGATTCATATTAGCAGAGATAAAAGCATAGTTATTTCCATTTTGAGATTTTTCCCCCTATTTCAAAATGTCCCTTAATCCACAGTTATGCGGACGTGGAGAGAGAGAGAGAGGGGGGGGGATCTTTCCTTCTGTAACACTAGTAATTCATGGTTAGCTAATACAGTTTTCCCCTTCCTTCCTTCCTTCCTTCCTTCCTTCCTTCCTTCCCTCCCTCCCTCCCTCCTTCTCTCCCTCCTTCCCTCCTTTCTTCCTTCCTTCCTTCTTTCAACAGGGTCTCTCAGTATGTAGCCCTGGCTGGCTTAGAACTCAATATATAGATCAGGATGGCTTGCAACTTTCAATGATCCTCCTGCCTCTGCCTCCGCCTCCATAATGCTGGGATTACAGGTGTGCACCATCATGCCCAGCCAATAAATTAACAACTAATTTACCTAATTTAAATGCATATAAAGCATATATAAAAAAGCCCCCTGAGAGCAGGGGACTAGCGGATGCCACGCTGCATGGGTAAGTTCATGTTATCTCAAAGGAAAGTGACTGTGCTAGAAAAGCAAGTGTCATCAGCAAACACAATCCAGGAGCTTCAAACACCCAAAACAGGGTGCATCAAGAAGAAGCTAAAGACATGCAGTCCTGAAGTCAGCTGGAAAATAGGCCAGGTCAGAAGCCAGGAGACCAGCCCTGGCATTAAGTTCACCACGGTCATGCCAGTAGAAAAGGATCAGTGCTGGTGTGATATGTGGAGCTGCTCTTCAGGCGGTCAAGCTGATGGTTATCTGGTGGTATTGCCATGAATGATGTGCAAGTGACCTAGAAGAATCTGTGCTCTGTGCCTTTCTTCCCAGCACCTTGGAGCCTGCCTCTCACAGTATCTGGAGCAGCAGTATTCAATGGTATCTATCATGCTTTGAGACTGAGGTGACAGGTTCTCCTCTAGTTGGAAAAATAACCCTCTCTGCAGACTAAATAAAGCTTTTTATACAAGGCACCAAAAGGCAACTAGGTCGTACAGTAGAGATCTACAGGGGTGGCTGGGTGCCCAGCCTCTCTGCTTGCCTGCAAACAGAAGGGAAAAAAAAAACACTTTCTGAGCAAATGAAAGTGAACTTTGAAACCAGCAAAACACTTCAAGCAGCTGGCCACAAACATATTCTCCAAACCACTACTGTCCTATAAGGCTATGTTCCCTGCCATGCAGCACATCCGCAGTTAAAGGAGCCCCACCTAGATTACAGACTCAATGGTTTGATGTGAAAATTCCCAACGGATGTGATGGCAGGATAAGCACAAATCAGTGAATATTAAAGGCTGATAAATGTGGGGCCTGATTTAAACTAAACGCTCAGTTAATACCTAGACATGTTTTTTTCCTGTATTAGCTTTTTAAAAAGCTTCATTATCACCATCATCAGCTCTTTAAATCCTTCAATTTGCCTAATTTACATGCAAAGAATTTTATATACATATTCCTTTAAAGATCAGTGTGAGCCCTCAGGCTTCATGGTGTTCAGAATGCAGCATCACTGGGGTTTCATTTCAAATCTAACCCCTCAGCCTTCTAATAACTCTACATGTTCCAGAAAATATATGGAAAGTGGATTTTTCTCTAAATAATTCTGGGTTTACCATTCATACGAAATTAATTACCAGTGTATGAAAAATGTAATAAAATAGTGAGGGTACCTAAATAATCACAGTCTCAGCAGAGTTTGGGATGATCACTTCCTCCACAGCAGCCAAAAGAGAAGAGGAAAATGTGAGGTCTGAATCCAAAGACTCAATAACGCCCATCTTTTCAGTTAGAGGTTAACCATCTTAAAACTCAAATTCAAATAAGTTATTCAAAATCTTCCATTTTCTGTAGAAATTTCTTTTGGAATCTGTAAGAGTTTAAAAATCAGAGATCCCAGCAATAGAAGAAAATGAGCAATGAAAGAAAAGCAACAAGAGAATTCGTGTAAAGAATTCGTGTAAAGAATAAAAGTAAGTTC